CAGGTGAGGATTAAAAAAACAAAAACCCTGCACCAGACTGTAGTGAATTTTTGGTAAACAGCCATTTGGCTTCACCTACCAAAATGCCCACTGGGATGTGTACTTTTTTCATGGACACACACCCAGTTCCCAGGCAGGCTGGGGTTATACTAGCATGCAGTAACACTGGTGAGTAAAAGCGCCTTAGTAAAGGTTACTGGAGTTACCTCGGCACCACTCACTCCCCAGTCACTGAGTAACAAACACTCTCCGTTTCATCTTCGGGGGTTTTCCTTGCTTATACCCTATGGGCAGAGTACTCCCTACTGAGTGGAAAAACCTGCACACATCCTATCCTTTGGGAAATGTGATCACTCTAAGTGCTGTTTGGCTTTGAATTCCACATCCCGGTTCCTAAGAAACAGGGTTGTCCTTTGGCAACTAAGTAGTTCACACTTGCTTTATATTTTCAGCAGCCTCTGACATTTTTGTTTCATCTTTTTACCTTGATGGTGAACTGAGAGGGCAAGGGCTGTTTTTCGAGTCCCTAGAACTGGACTTTGCATCAAGGGATGCCCAATAAATACTCCTGACCAACTGACAGACCAAAACACATTCCTTGTATGTAGTGTATACTCACAGATGTTTCATATAAGCTCTCTCTTTACACATTACAGTATAAATGTCAGATATCCTAAGAGAACAGTAAAACAAAACACAACTACCAGTGGGAAACTGCAGAGTTGTGCAACAACATGTATGAAGTCTGCCATCATGTAGTTCTCTACACTAACCCTAAAGCAAAAGACGTGAGCAAAGGTTCTCTTCTCAACGTGTCTGTCCAATAGATCATTCCTTTTTTCTTTAATCCTCACTCGAGAATCTTTTTTCCACTGCTTTTCAGAGAGAGTGGGAGAGGGAGAAAGAGAAAGAAAGAGAGAGAGAGAGAGACATCAATTGGTTGCCTCTCACACGTACCCAGACCAGGGTCAGGGATCAAGCCTGCAACTGAGATATATGCCATTCGCTGGAATCAAACCCGGGACCCTTCAGTCTGCGGGCTGACGCTCTTAACCAGAGCCAAACCATCAAGGCCAATATATCACTTCTTCAGTCTGTCTCTTATTCTTTGAGAAGTTTTCTAAGTCAAAAAAGTAATTTGAAAGCTTATAGTTGTCTTTGTAACCAAATGATATATTTTACTGTATTAAATTGATCACCCTGCATCACCTCTCAATATCAGAGTCCCCAACTTTAAAAGAAGGTTAATATGAAAATCAAGTATTTCTTGATAACTGAGTTTTATTTTTAACCAATTATTTTCTTGTTTATGGAGGTCCAAGAAAAGACAATGCTAAAACATGAACTTAAGCTACTAATGTTCACCTTAAGACTGTTCCCGAAGGTTAGATACAAAGACAGAAATAGCCTGCCTGGTGTGGCTCAGCGGTTGAGCATCAACCTATGAGCCGGGACATCGAGGTTTGATTCCTGGTCAAGGCAAATGCCCGGGCTGAGGGCTCGATCCCCAGCAGGGGGTGTGCAGGAGGCAGTCAATCAATGACTCTCATTGTTGATGTTTCTCTCTCTCTCTCTCTCCCCCCTCCCTTCCTCTCTCTGAAATCAATAAAGACATATTTAAAAATAAATAAGTAAATGAATGAATGAAGACAGATATAGACATTAAAATGGTAGTGTATTTAGGAATCTGGCTTCAATTGTTACAATTCAAACTCCTCCTCCATGAGTAACTATTACACAAATAACTAATGTTTATAGGATGCTTTCCATTAATTATCTCATTTAACCTCCTTAACTTACTTTCAGGCAGGTGCCACTCCTAACTACTTGCTACTCCCCAGCTCAGCCAGCTCACTGTGCACTGTTTGAAATGCGCTCGTCCTATCTGCTTGATCACCTAGTTATTACACATGGACCAGCCCAAGTCTCATTTATTGGATGAAGCCTTTCCTGACATTTCCTCCCCTGTGGAATCATCCTAGGTTTTTGTCTTTAGGGTAAATTTACTTACAATCAAAGATTTATAGACTTGCTCCTGGTTTTTAAAAAAAGTGTATTAAAAAAAACAGAGATAACCTCCCTGACCATCAATAGCATTAAAATAATGAAGTGAATGTTTTTATTCTCTTGTGTTTAAGGGTTAAGCTGGGCAGAAACTCTAGGTTCAGGCCTACACTGTGGGCTGCACAGTGAAGGGCAGGAACTCTGTTTTCAGAAAACAGAAGTTGGAAACCACAAAGCTTTTATTGCTGAGGCTACACTGTCTATATTATTGTTTTAAGAGGGTACATTATGCTTTTTGCCCACTTTCTCTTGTGGAGTCAGGGGTCCCCACTGCAGGACCTGTGTGGTTAGATGTCTTTCCCTCTATGGACGAGCCGGGAAGCACTCTATGAATACTCCTGCGTGTCTAGGCACCAGGTGCTCCATTTTGTCAACAGGTGAGATTCACTTTATCACTGGCCTGGTGGCCACCACTTAAATGCTGACACCTGAATTAAACCTGTCACTAGTATTAATGTTAAAGCAGACATTTCTTAGGTCCAAATGACTGTACATCCAGAACTGGCCAGTGGAGCAAGGAAATAAAACTACGACATAGTTTCCTAGGTCACCAAACCTATAGATGCTTTCCTGGGCCTGGGCTTTCTTCTATTATTTCCATTCCTAACCATTTGAAATTCTTGCCTCTCTTGCCAAATTTAAGGCAAAATTCATTGTCAGCATTTTTCTATTTCCCTCCACATCCTCTATAGTTGATTCTAAGAGGTGGGAACTTCTCATTTTTTTGTTTACTATAATCAAAGATGTGCCACTTATAGTTTAGGTTGCAGTCCTCATACAGTTTCTGTCACAGATTTGTTACAAATGCTTACAAAAATCAAATAGCTCACTTCTGCTCAAAAAACCAAATATATACTCAAAGTACTAACACTGTTCAAAACTATTTTCGAGACAGTGATACAATGGATTTTACAATTAAGGGAATATTTCACATTGAATAACTTTCAACACATATGGGAATATTTTTTAAAGCAAAATATGCAAATTGAGGCATTTGCTAAAAAGACTTCTTGGTAGCCTGCTAAAAATGTATTTTTCATTTTCATCCCTAAAGACTGTTTTAAACAGTACTGTCACTGTATGGAATTCCAGCTGATGTCTTCTAACCTTGTGCATTCTGTAACGTAGCGCTAAAGGAAGTGTTCAACTGACAAACCAAAGAAGCAGAGTATCTTTAAAAACTACTTAAACACTGCCCTCAAAGACACACCCCAAATGACTGCTTTGTGTCCTGTGATGTTAACCCTCTCTAGTACTTACCCAAGGCTAAGTCTAACTGGGGAAAAAAAAAAGTTTATCGACACAACGGGTGAAATCTGAGTCATGGAAAGATGGCAAGGCAAGGTCAAGGGCAGGAAATCACTTTTTCCTAATGCAGTCTGCTATGTGCAATTCCCCTTCTGCTCCCCGCCGGGCAGATGATATGCCTAAACATCAGGAAGGTGTTTATGAGGAATCTCTCTCATTTGTGAGCATTTCTGTCTTCATTATTTTAAGGGTACAGAATAAACACTCGCTAAGAGCCCACTACTACATAAAGAACAAGACAATTTGGAGCTATGGCTCAAATGAATTCTCTTCCTTGTGGTAGTAAGAGAATTAGGGGTAGAAGCTGAAAACCTCTCACAATCTTGAAAAGGTTCTGGGAGAAAGTCACAAGTCAAGAGACCACAAAGGTCTCAAAGGCACTGAGAGAGGAAATCTCAAATGGGCCAGGACAGGGAACACAAATAACCTGCAAAAGCCATGGCCACGAGATTCCACGGGTAGGGGTTACCTTATTAATCATGTTTAACCTTTTCTGGCATTATGCTTTTTTTGAGTCCATATTCATTAAATAAGCACATTGTAAAACTGCTTTCTCACCTAACCTAATTATCCATATTATTAAAAAAACAATAATGTCTGACCAAATATTTTTCCAGATACCATGGTCTGTTTAACATTATATCCTGATGACAGGATATCTCTCAAGTGTTTCGACTGTAGCATGTACAATTATAATCATGCTGTTGTAATTCACTCTGTTAAGTCACTGTGATGTCTGTAACAGTTAGTATATAATCAAAATTAGTAAGATCTGGAAACAGCCCAAGTGCCCATCAGTAGATGAGTGGATAAAAAAAAGCTGTGGGGCATTCACACCATGGAATACTATGCAGCTGTAAAGAAGAAGAATCTCGTACCCTTTGGGGCAGTGTGGATGGACCCAGAGACAAATATGCTAAGTGAAATAAGCCAGGCAGCGAAAGACAAATATCACATGATCTTGCTTATACATGGAATCTAAAGAACTTAATAAACTGATGAACAGAATAGATTCAATGACATGGAAGCATAGATGAGACAGACGAATATCAGAGAGATGGAGGAGGGCGGGTGGGTGGAGGGGAGAGAGTAACCAAAGAATTTATATGCATCTATGCACAACCCAAGGACA